GGCTCTTCTCTTCATTTTGTTGGGCCCGCTTCTCCATTAGGGTATAGACACCTTGAACAGAACCTTTCCAGAAGTCTTCCTTAGTTTCCCAGGCATTGGATAAAGATTTGCTGAACACACATGGCAAGGCCCTGTGGGCAATGCTTTATCTTCCTCTCTCCCTCCCACACTCTCTCATTTAAAAATAAAAATTAAATAAATGAATGAACAAACTAAGTGTAACAAAGACACATGAAACCTAATGTCCAAGGCAGCTGTCCAATCACCTAAGCTGGAGGTGCCGGTATTCTAAATTTCCCATTTAGAAGTCTAAGCAAATCCTATTCATCAGACATCCACCTGAAAGAGTTTCTTCTCTTATTTTTTTTAGAAGGTTTTGCTATAGGGTGCGTGTGTTCACCAGAAAGACAGAGACAGAGAGATAGAAAGCGAGAAATCACCTCTCAGGGGGGATGGCCATGCCGCAATCATTTCTCCTCTCAGGATCTTGGGCACGTACACACAAGCACCCGCCATGAATTTAAGCCACCAGGTCTGGGACTCGAACTATAGTCGACTACATGGGAGTCCAGTGACATAGCCATTATGCCAACTGCTGGTCCCACTTGAAAGAGTTTCTAAAACTTACTGGTATACATATATTTTTGGTACAAAATTCACAAGGCACAAAAGGGTACTCAGTACAAAATTTCTCCTCCCTCTTCCTCTGTCTGGCACCCTGAACCCTAATTCTCCTCCCAGAGTTTGGAGACAACTAGTTTGATAACCAGTGTTTGGGTATGCTTCTTCAGATAGTCTATAAATAGTTGGGCTAAAGAAATGGGGGAGTCAGGCTAGTGCAAACATGCCCACCTGAGCAGCATGCACCATGGTCATTGCCCAGGCTTGGCCTGCCCATGCAAAGGCTGGGTCTGGGTTGCTGGGAGACGCATCCCCTGCCGAAGTCATGCCTTATGCTGCTGTGCCATGCAGGCTAGTCTAGTGGGGTTGGAATTCTAGGTCAGGAACTGGGCACAGAAGAGGGGTTTTGCTTTATAGGGAAACAAGCAAGAGGATTATCCCCAGCATTCCTTAGGCCAGCTATGTAAACCGCCACCTGCCAAGAGGAAATGCCATCTGTGGTGCATTGCACCAGGTACCGCAGGTATCTGGAGCACAGGGTGAACAGGCCACGGTGAGCGGTTTCACCTTGTTTAGGCCAGGAATTTCTTTCTGTTTTGTAACAAGGAGTGGACACCCAGAGCTGGTCAAGGTCTTACCAGTCTGGGCTGTGAGCGAGCAGGAAGCCTTGTCAAGTAGCAGAGAAATACCCCTGCAGTCTCTGACATTCCTAGTCTGGGCTAATGGCTTCCAGCAGCCCAGAAGAAAGTGAAATGCACTTCTATGATCTATAGATACTCCTACAGGCAGGCCATGGCAGAAAAAACCATCCCTACTCTGCTTTCATACCAGCTTCACAATGAGCCTTGCTTGCTGTTTAAGCACCAAGACTGTTTCCTAGTCCTGAGATTTCTATAACACACATCACTTTGGGACTAAGCCTAGTCCCTTTCTCATTGTAAAATAATCCTTTGTTGTTAAAAGCAATGAATCAGGGAGCTTGACTCATGAAGGAGAGCAGTATGCTCCCTCCGGACATGAAGTGTTTATCTACTGGTGGCAGATCCCAACTCCAAGTGAGCTACCAAGTCTCCAAGGAGAAAAGAAATACTTGCTTTTTTATCTCCTCTCTCCCTAGATAGCCCGTGCCCATGGTGAGCCAGATCAGGCTAATCTATAGGGTCCCAGGGGCTAGGTACAAAGCAAAGACATTTACCAATGCATTCTCCTTCCATGAGACCTTTAAAGGAGATCAGAAAACAGCATCTGTTGCCTCAAGGTCATCTGTCCACATCTGAGTACATCCCTAGCTTTATACAAGCACAGCATTTAGCACACACTGCCTTTGAACAATGATTTGGAAGGCAGTGTTAATGAGATATGCCTACCAAGTGCCAGAGAGAACGCAGTCTGTCTTGGCCTAAAAGGAGTGTCCTACTGGGGGAAGCCCAGGTCTGCCCAGGTTAGTGGGTAAAGTAGACACAGCACTTCCCAAGGCCCTCAGCCAGGGAAGTCTATCTGTGCTTGACCCTCATGCAAAAAAGGAGAGGGACACTAAGGGGGAAAGAAAGGGCTAAGGAGCCAAGGGACACTAGGGTAGCAATATTCACGTAGTGGACAAAAGACTCTGAAGGAAAAGAAAGTACCAACACTTATAAGAATTAAGGCAGGTCAGCACATCCCAGGCAGAGTTCAACAAGGTAAACATGTCCCCTGCCTTTGTAAAGCACTTCCCAAGGAAAGACACTCCTGCTCTTTTCCTGCCGCCTTCACCACTGCCACTGAGTTGCGCGGAGGTGTGCGTTCAAGATTCGGCCCCACCAGTAATCCACTGCCATGGCCGAGGAAGGCATTGCTGCTGGAGGTGTAATGGACGTTAATACTGCTTTACAAGAGATGCTGAAGACCGCCTTTATCCACGATGGCCTAGCACGTGGAACTCGCGAAGCCACCAAAACCTTAGACAAGCGCCAAGCCCACCTGTGTGTGCTTACATCCAACTGTGACGAACCTATGTATGTCAAGTTGGTGGAGGCTCTTTGTGCCGATCACCAAATTAACCTGATTAAGGTTGATGACAAGAAACTAGGAGAATGGGTAGGCCTCTGTAAAACTGACAGAGAGGGAAAAAGCCGTAAAGTGGTTGGTTGCAGCTGTGTAGTAGTTAAGGACTATGGCAAGGAATGTCAGGCCAAGGTTGTCATTGAAGAGTACTTCAAATGCAAGAAATGAAAAGATAATAAAAATCAGCTCATGATAAAGATAAAAAAAAAGGAAAGACATTCCTGTCAACCTTCATTCCTGGTGAACTCTGGAACCATCCCCTTTCTCCTCATTCTTTTCAGTGACACCCTCCCCACCCCCCCATCTATCAAGCCTAGTATCTCCCTCTAGCCCACAGGCTTTCTCCTCAGTAAATAAGGAGAAAATCATTTAGAAATAATGACTCTTGGGACCAGCAGGTGGTGTGGTGGTTAAAGGCACTGGATTCCCAAGTGGCTGACCACAGTTCGAGACCCAGATCTGCGGGCTTGCTTTCTCTCTCTGGTCAAATTAAATAATAATAATAGTAACAACAACGACAAATGTAATTAATTAAATAAATTATAAAAAAGAAAGAACAATTCTTCAAAGCATTCCTCTGTAGCTATCATCCTTTTCATTCCCAAATACCCTAAAACATCCCCACTTGCCAGCTTCCAGGACCTCATTGGCCATCAGTCCACTGACTTGGCTTCAGCCCTCACCTCTCCACTAGGTTATCCTTGCTTCACACTAGCAAAGTCAGTGGGCTCGCTCTGTCCTTTCCTTGTGGTTTCTCCAGCACAAACCATCACCGATCGATCTCTTTCCTTCCTCAGCATCAGAGACAATGCTCTCTCTTTCTTCTCTTCATTTAATCTCCTGGACTTCCCCCTCCACCTCCCAATCTCTGGCCTTCTGACCTTTTCAACTCTACTTCTGATTACTGGCTGAATACAGTCTACATCCCTGGTTTTTTTTTTTTTTTGGAGAGGTTTTTGCTATAGGGCGCATGCGCTCGCCAGACATACAGAGAGAGACAAAGAGACAGAAAGCGAGAAATCCCCCCCCAGGGGGGATGGCCATGCCGCAGTCCCTTCTCCTCCATTCTCCTCTCGGGATCTTGGGCACGCACGCACACGCACCTGGCCTGAGTTTTAAGCCACTGGGTCCGGGACGCAAACCGCAGTTGACTATGTGGGAGTCCAGCGACATAGCCATTACGCTAACTGCTGGTTCCCTACATCCCTGGTTTTGACCATGACTTCAAAACATGTCTCTTAGTATCAAACAGCCTACCTTGGTTATGTCCTGGTTCTGTGTTTTATCCTATGCTTTCTATTCCAAATTACGAGCAACATTCCTAATCTCTAACCTGGAAATTTAGGAGTCATCCGGAGGCCTCTCTTTTTCAACTCAAGCCCTATACCTGGTCTGCCACTAGGTCCTACTGACCCAAAAATCCACAAAATTTCCTTGAGCCACCTGGGGTATACACTGTAGATGAACCTAGCCAACCTCCATTCCACCCTGCTCTTGAGGTGCCATGCCTAGAAAGAAAGAGGGGCCCCTAAAAGCCGGACCTGAGACAACCTGGTACAGCGATCCAACATACACAGTCCTACCCCCAGGGACCGGCCTCCTGCGCTGGGCAGCACCCAGCTCAGCTGTTTCCCAAGACAACCGCTCTGGTATGCTGTGTTGTCTCCGCTCCCTGCAGACTGGCAATGGGATCAGCAGGACAAAACTGTGCTGGGGACACTGAGTTGTTTTCTTCCATCTGATTTCTGCTTGCTGGCTCAGGAAGTCCAGACCCCAGGCGTGTCTCCTGACAACAATGAGCATTTCATCACCACTGCAGGGAGTTTAAAATTTATTCTGGATATCCAGGCATCACTGAGATTATGACTAGAAAGTGCTGCATCCAGGGTTGTATGTGGTATGATAACATAAGGTTGAGTGTGACCGGCAGGATGGTAGATGTTCTAAATGTTATCTAGGAGGTGTGGAAAATTCCAGTGTGTATAGAGGGGTATCAGGGAAGGACAGGCCTTGCTAGGCCAAACACCGAACTTCTGGGACAAGAGAAGTACATCAAGTTCCTTCTGATCTAAGGCCAGGAACACCTCCTGTCTGTAGATATTAGCTAGACGGCCAAGGCAGACTTGAGTCCAGCTCAGGAGAGGTGTTGCCATGGCAATTTACTGCTATTAAGGGACAAGCTCTTGGAAGAAATCTGTCTATCAAATATGCAAAAGTAAACATGTCAAAGTTTTTCCTGGCTCAATTTTGTTTGCTTTAGATTTCAGAATGGTAGGTAGGAGCCTGAAGTAAAGTTTGGAGAGGCATGCAGAGACAAAGGAAAGCATATGGCTTACCTTGTGAACACTGGTCAAGACATTTGGGAAACAGAAATCTAGAAGGAAAAAATAGGAATATTTTAAAACTATTAATCTCAGAACTGACACTGATTATTTCCCACAGAAATGTGATGGTTCCTGGCACGCAAGTTGATCTACTTGATGAGGAAAGCGAAGGCAGCACTAGCTCCAGGATAGCCATGGGTACTCAAAGAATTTCATAGCTTTGCGACAAGACCTTCCCAGGGTGGGAGCCTCACAGTTCCTCATGGCCAACCCTTGGTGGGATGCTGAAGATGGGCTGCTGTGTGCAGGAATAGCTCTTTAGACTATAGCAGCTGGAGAAAAAGAGTCTGAAAGAGAAACAGCCTGCCGTGTGGTGGTGAAGGTGCTGGATCCCACATGGCCACATGGCCCACTGTGTGGTTTGAATCCCAGACTGGCAGCTTGAAAAACATGCTAGGCACGTGTGAATGCATGCCCAAAATCCCAAGTGGAAACTGGAGGAGAAGGGAATGAGGCATGACCACCTCCATGGGGGATGCCTTCTCACTTTCCCTCTCTTGCTCTCTTTCTGTCTCTCTCTGGCAAGTGTACATACCCTCTGGCAAAAAATTTTGAAAAAAAGCCAAGATAACTGTTTTGAGCAAGGGGAAATTTCAAAGGAAAATGAGAATGACATTTACCTAACTCTACTAGGGGCCTTTAGTACCAACGCTACCGTGCTTCTTTTCATGTGCACGCTAGAATCCCGCTTTTCCTTTCATCTCATTCTTAACTCAAATGGTGAGTGAAAAGTAGGAAACGGACTGGATGACAAGTGAAGTAGGAGGTAGTGGTGACTGCACTGCAGTAAGCTCCAGAGAAAAACTCACATTCTCGCAGGGCTTTGAAACTTCTAAAACAGCACAGGCTTTTCTCGGGGAAGAAAACTAACACTAAAGAGAACAGTTAGCATTATCACGTCTCCGCCACAGGCCAGGCACCATATAAGCAGTTCTGCATATGATCTTGCTCTGTCGTCCTGTCTGTCCTGCACCTGGGCTATTTAACAGAAGATCAAGTGGGCTGAGGACGGCTGAGCAGACTGAGCAGCTTGCCTGAGGTCTCCCATGCAGCTAGAAGTTGAGGGGCTCAAGCAGAGACCTAAGTGAGGCACCAAAGAGCTCCTGTTTTTCTCCCTGGCAAGTGGGATACTTGCTGAAGCCATTCGTCTGAATAGTTGCTGGGCTTTTTGGCAGGTATGAATGCTGTTCCAGATACTTGGGGGATTTCTCGTCTGGAATTTCCTTGGTAGGGGCAAACTTTCATCCTCTCATTTGATCTCGGACAACAGCCAGATGCACACCATTTGGAACCAAACTCAGAGGCTGAGTGAGCTAGATGAATACCAGTGTCTGAGGGCTTTGTACTATAGACCGGTTTTCTCATGGTTTCTGAAGAATCTCAAGAAACCCCTGTGCACTATGACAAAGTATGGCAAGGTCAAGAGGCCTAGAACAAAGGGAGAGACACCCGTACCAGAGTCTCCCAAGAACAGAACTTGCTGACTCACTGTACTCATGGCTTGTCAGAGAGCAAAGTTCTCAGGAATTAACTGGTTATTCTTAGAAACTGTGTCTGTTCTGGGGCTGGCAGGTGGCAGGGTGGTTGAGAGCGCTGGACTCTCAGATGGCTGGGTGACCATGGTTCAAGTTTTGGACCTAGTGGTTTGCTTTCTCACTTTCCCTATCCCTCTCTCACTCTGTTCCTCTCTGGTCAAATTAAAAATAAAATAAATAAATAAATTTAAATAAAATAATTCTTAAAAAAAAAAGAAAGAAAGAAAGAAAGAAAGCGTCTGTTCCTGTTGAATGCCTGCAACTTATACGTGCACTCCAGCCCTTCTCAGAGCGCTGCTTGTCTTCTCATGGCAGGTGGTAGCAGTTCACAACAGAGGCACCGTAGACAAGGCTGGACAAAGTTCCCCCTCAAGGCACAGGTTGGACACTCATGCTTTAGACCTCTGATGAAGTGGGATCATTATGTAGACTTCAAGTAACTGGAGGTAGTATATTTAGAATACATGCACTTGCACATATATACAATTCCCTAAAACTAGAATGCAAGCTCGCATATCTTGGGCATTTTTGTCATATCTGTCCTTCTTCTTTTTTTTTTTTAAGAATTATTTTATTTAACTTTATTTATTGACTTATTTTAATTTGACCAGAAAGGGGCAGAGTCAGAGAGACAGAGAGAGGAAAAGTGAGAAAGTAAGCTGCCAGGTCTGGGACTTGAACTGCGGTTGGTCATATGGGCACTTTAACCACTATGCTACCTGCTGGTCCCATACCTAGCCTTCTAATGCCTTTGTTGGCTTTCCTCACAATCCAACCAGGAACTATTATTGCTTATTTACATTGCTTATAAAATTGTTTGAATCTTTTATTATGGCACTACCCAACATCATAATTGTGTATGTCATTGGTGACATATGGAAAATTATTTAGCTTATGGGACCAGCAGATGGTGTAATGACTATGTCGTTGGACTTCCGTGTTGTTGACTGTGGTTTGAGTCTCAGACCTGGTGGCTTAAACTCATGCTGGGTGCGTGTGCATGTGTGCCCAAGATCCTGAGAGGAGAATCGAGGATAAGGGATTGTGCTGTGGCCATCCCCACTGGGGAGTGATTTCTCACTTTCTGTCTCTCTGTCTCTCTCTGTCTTCTGGTGAGTGCACGTGCCCTATACCAAAACCTCTCTCTCTAAAAAAAAAAGGAAAATTATTTAGCATTTTTGAGCATCAGCTCCCTCATGGTAAAACTATGGCAATAAAGCCTACCTTACTGGGACTTTTTTTTAAAAAGAATTATTTAACTTTGTTTAATTTGGTGAGAGAGAAAGTGAGAAAGCACGCCTCCAGGTCCAGAACTTAAACTGTGCTCAGCTATGTGGGAGTCCAGCACCCTTAACCACTCCACCTGCCAGCTCCCTTAATGGGAAATTTTAAGGTCAGAAGGGCAAACATAATGCATGACAAGAGAACAAAGTAAATCTTGGCTCACTTTTTTTCTTATCAATTTAGCATCCTTCCTACTACTACTGTTATTATTTTGTAGAAGTTTCTTTAGGGAGCATATGTTCACCAGAGAGAAAGAGAGAGAGAGAGAGAGAGAGAGAGAGACAGATAGACAGTGAAAGGGAAAGTGAGAAATCATCTCTCAGGTAGGATGGCCATGCCACCCTCCCTTCTCCTCCATTGTCCTCCTGGGATCTTGGGCATGCACGCACATGTGCCTGGTGATTCAAGCCACCAGGTCCGGGACTCGAACTGCAGTCAGTCATGTGGGAGTCCAGTGACATAACCACTATGCTATCTGCTGGTCCCCTTCCTACTAATATTAAAGAGTACTTGGCACAGGAATTTTAAACATATTGGGCAAGTTTCACACTAAGAAACAGTGGAATGACAGGTATACTGGTTACTGACCAGTTCTTCCTTTGAATAACAGAAGGAGCTGTGAGTATGATATAGTCCTAAGCATTCCTTAGGTATTGTATGGCTCTTTGCATTTGGTAGTGTTTCAACCAGTACCTAATTTATATAAGATTCTAGTAAATCTCTAAGTAATGACACTGATCTAAGGTACCCCAAAACACAGTCCCACGATTCCTACGTGCATATCCATGAAAAGAACAGATACCTGGACTAACTTGTTCTCTGCTGTACCTTCAGTGATTGGCATGGTCCTGGCACATAGGAGACACTCACTAGATACTCACTGAATACAATGACTTAGAATAAAGATATCCAGCAAATCTTACATGAACCTGTCCTGAATCCAAACTGAGGCTACCTCCAAGATTAATGAGGTCTCATAAACCTTCATCTCACAGAAAGGAAATTTATGCTCTATCATGTTCTACCAACACCTGTGTTATTACAAAAATATTATCTAGAAGCATTAATGCAAATTTAATTTTTGCTAAGGTAGTCATTAAAACAAAACAAAATCAACAATACTGAATTAATAGTTTTAAAAACATGATTCTAAAAAATCTTCATTGGGCCAGCCTGTGGCATGGTAATTAAGGTGGCTGAATCCTACATGGCCAACTGCATGGTTTGCCTCTTGGACCAGTGGCTTAAAAAAGGCACCAGGAGCATGTGCATGTGTGTCCAAAATCCAGAAAGGAGAAACAGAGAAGAACTGCAGTGTGGCCACTTCCCCACCCCCAGTGGATGTTCTCTCTCTTTTTCTCTCCAGCAGGCAAGTATGCCCAAAATCCAGAAAGGAGAAATGGAGAAGAGTGTGCAATACTGCAGTTCTCTTGGACCCAGTGACTTAAAACACGCTGGGCGGGTGCGCATGTGTGCCAAAAATCTATCTTTCTTTCTTTCTTTTCTTTTTTATTTTTAAAATAACAAACATGTTTTTATTTTCTCATTTTTAAAAATGTGAACATTCTGTAATTCAGCCATAGTTTTTGCTTCCAGGTCACTTCTTTTTTTTTGGAGAGGTTTTTGCTATAAGGAGCGTGCGCTCGCCAGAAAGACAGAGAGAGACAGAGACAGAAAGTGAGAAATCATCCACCGGGGTGGGGGGGTGGTCATGCCGCAATCCCTTCTTCTCCATTCTCCTCTCAGGATCTTGGGCACACATGCACATGCGCCCAGCGTGAGTTTAAGCCACCAGGTCCAGGACTTGAACTGTGGTTGACTACGTGGGAGTCCAGCGACACAGCCATTATGCTAACTGCTGGTCTCAAGGTCACTTCTTCATGGGGCCTCAATTCCCTTTTAAATAATACACTCTTGTTCTGTAAGGCAGTTAGCTTTTCATCACACTTTCTGTCTAGATAACATCCAAACACAAATCCCATAGGGACAAGCATGTGAACCCAGTGGTCATGCACAGTCTGAAGTACATTTGTCATGATTGCTGCGGCTTGGGCGCCAACAACAACCCCGCCACCAAGGGCAGCACAGAGGTTGCCCAAAATCTTGAGAGAAGAGATTGCAGTGTGGCCATCCCCCTGGGGGCAGGGATGCTTTCTCATGACTCTCACTCCCACCTTACCTCGTGTCTCTCTCCAGCAAGCACATGCACCCTATGGCAAATTCAAAGAAATAAATGTAACTCTATTTTTTTTTTTTAAACAGGGTCTTGGGACCAGCATGTGGTGTGGTGGTTAAGGCACTGGACACTTCCACATGGCTGACCATGGTTTGAGTCCTGGATCTGGTGGCTTGCTTTCTCACTTTCCCTCTCTCACTCTGGTCAAATTAAAATAAAATGAATAAAATAAAATAAATAATTCTTTTAAAAAAATTACCAAGGTCTTGCTGTTATGATTCTCCTGCCTCAGCCTCCCAGTTGGGACTGTAGGTGCTCACTACCACGCCCTGCCTGCTCTTTTTGTTTAGACAGGGTCTGGCCATGTTGTCAGCCTTGAGCTCACGCTCCTTCTGCTGCAGTCTCCTGAGTCGCTGGGATTACAGGTGTATGCCTCCACATCTGGCCTTCAGAGTGGGTCAGGAATCAAACTCAAGTTTCCCACTTGGTCTGAGCTTGTGAATCAGCCGTACTTGTGGCAGCTGGGCCTTAATTCTTTAATTCTTGATGGGAGGGGCTGCTTTTGGTGTGGCTTTATGTAAATACTGAATTTTTGCAATAGGCTGTATGTGCTCCCCTCAGAGAGAGACAGTGGGACGGGGAGAGAGAAAGAGAAAGTGAGGAATCACCCCCGAGATGGGTGGCTACACTGCAATCCCTTCTCCTCCATTGTATTCTGGAGATTTGGGCACACATACACACATACCTGGTGTGTTTTCTAGGCTGCTGGATCTGGAACTCGAATTGCATAGTCAGCCATGTGGTATCTGGCCCCCTTAATGATCATGCCACCTGGCTGGGCCTATATGTACTTTTATTTCCTGTATGTATGTATGTATGTGTGTGTGTGTGTATATATATATATATATATCTCGTTCTGGGATCTTGGGCACGCACGCACGCACACACGCCCATACGCACAAGCGCCTGGCGTGAGTTTAAGCCACTGGGTCCGAAACTTGAACCGTAGTCGACTACATGGGAGTTTAGCAACATAACCATTATGCTAACTGCTGGTCCCACTTTCCTATATATATCTTAAAATTCTGCCAGAGGACCTATCTGCTCACCAGAGAGAGAGCGAGCGAGCATGAGAGCAAGAATCAGAGGCTGTGTGGGGACGGTCGGGCCACAATCACTTATCCTCCCTTCTCTCCATCCTTTCGGGGTTTGGGGCATGCTTGCACACGTGCCCAGCATTTTTTTTTTTTTGGAGAGATTTTCACTGTAGGGCGCGTGCGCTCGCCAGACAGACAGAGAGAGACATAGAGACAGAAAGCGAGAAATCACCCCCCAGGGGGGATGGTCACGCCGCAATCCCTTCTCCTCCATTCTCCTCTCGGGATCTTGGGCACGCACGCACACGCGCCCGGCGTTGAGTTTTAAGCCACCAGGTCCGGGACACGAACCGCGGTCGACTATGTGGGAGTCCAGCGACATAGCCATTACGACATAGCCATTACGCTAACTGCTGGTTCCCCCCAGCATTACTTTTCAAGCCACCAGTTGGCTGGCTCTAACTTATATTTCCTAAAAAATTTGCCAGAGGGTGTATACACTGGCAAAAAAGACAGCATGAAAGAGATACTGAGAGAGAGAGAGGGAAGGTAAGAAAGTATCCTTTATGAGGTATGGTCATGACGCAATCCCTTCTTCTGAATGCACATGCATCCAGTGTGTTTTTCATGCCATCGAGTCTGGGACTCAAATTGTGCAGATGGACACGTGGGATCAAGCTTAACCATCAGGCCATGGTTTAGTCTCTATGGAGTATTAATAAAACTAAGATAAATTACTTTCCAGGATTTCAGAGGTAAATGTGGAAATTCCTTATGTATTTATTTAACTTTATTTATTATTATTTTTTAAATTTGACTAGAGAGAGAGAGAGAGAGAGAGAGGAAGTGAGAAAGCAAGCTGCAAGGTCCAGGACTTGAACCACAGTCAGCTAGTGGGAGTCCAGCGCCCCAACCACCATGCCACCTGCTGGTTCCCAAATTTGGAAATTTCTAAATAATATCTAAAAATAGGCAATTAATCATTCTGATCTATTGATACAGTATTTTTCCCTGTAATTTAATTCATTGTTATTATTTTCTTTTTTTATTTGACTGAAGTTAACCAGAGAGAGTCAGAGAGAGAGAGAGAATGAAAGTGAGAAAGCAAGCAGCCAGGTCTGGGACTTGAACCATGGTCAGCCATCTGGGAGCCCAGCTGCCTTAACCACCATGCTACCTGCCGGCCCAATGTAATATTTTTCAACCTTGTAATTTGGAAAAATGAAAAACTCAGTATATCTTAATTTCTATTACTTACCTTTGATTTTTAAAAAAAATATTTATTTATTAATTATTTTTTTTTTACATGAGTTTTGCCAGAGAAAGACAGAGAGAGAGAGGCAGGGAAGGAGGAAGGGAGAGAAAGAGAGAAAGAGAGAGAGAAAGAGAGAGAGAAAGTGAGCTTCCAGGTTCAGGACTTGAACCATTGTCATACATGTTCCCATACATATTCCAGTGCCTTAACCACCATACCACCTACTGGCCCGACTTACCTTTGATTTTGTTACTTATATTCCATAATCATAATCATCCTATTTTAGCCTTAATTCTACATTTAAATAGATTTTATGCCCTTTTTTTTTCTTTGCTATAAGGTAGGTATGCTTGCTAGAGAGAGAGAGGGAGAGAAAGAGGGAAAGTGAGGAAGCACCTTCTAGAGGCATAGTCATGCTGCAATCCCTTCTCCTCCATTCTCCATTTGGGATTTTGGGAATGCACACACATGTGCCCAATGTGTTTTTCAAGTTGCTGGGCCTGGGATTTGAACTGCACAGTCATTAAGTGGTACACTGATTTATTCCCATGGTGAACACACAAAGATGTGTCTCCTGGTGGGTGGGCAAATCACTTCCAGTTCACTTAAGCAGATCACAGCCTGTGGGCTGGAGGAGGCCCTACCTGTGCTCCATGTAGCAGCTCAGGGGTTCCACGCACACTGTGATGGCACCAATGGTGAAGGACAACTTGACATTGGCATCGGGGTGGGTCTGCAGGGCTTGGACCACATCAATAACATCTGTGTAGCTGGAGGAAAGAAAGGATATTATTAATTTACTGTCTAAAGCTGCACTGGAGTAATGGGAGAATGCTGACTGAACAAGGGTAGAGGGAAAACCAAAAGGAGCCTGTGACTGGAGTTCTAGGGGGCACCCCACTCCAATTCAGAGCCCCTAGAACGTACAAAGTGTTTCTGTGTTCTCGAGTTCTATTAGTCCTTCTAACTGTATAGAGTGGGGGCAGGAGCCACTGCTGGGAGTAAATGGGAGGCTGTAGGAGACACTTGGGTCCCAGTGTTTTTGTTATTTTTTCTTTTTTTAGAGATATTTCTGCTATAGGTCATGTGCACTTGCCAAAGAGAGAGAGAGACAGAAAGCAAGAAATCATCCTAGTGGGGATGGCCATGTTGCAGTTGCTTTTCCTCCATTCTCCTCCCAGGATCTTGGGCATACATGCATATGTGCCTGGTGTAAGCTTCAAGCCACCAGGTCCAGGACTTGAACCGCAGTAGACTACATGAAAAGTCCAGCAACATAACCGTTATGCCATCTGCTGGTCCCAGGACCCAGAGTTCTTAGGCTTGTTTTCTAGCTATCAAGTTAGGAGCTTCTTCTACGTGGTCTGTTTTCTTTAATAGCTCTTTCTTGCCCTTCCCACCTCACAGAACATGCAGGCAATAAACAAGGGATGAATCTTCAGAACCTGTCCTGGTCAGCAGACACATCAGATACTGCTCACATTCACATCTCCTGTCTAGAGCACCCTCTAAACTCCAGACTTAAAGAGATAGTTGTACAGCTTCACTTAGAACCGAACATGCTCATGATTCGGTGTCCACACGTCTGCTCCTCCCAAGGTTTTGTTCTGAGGAGAGAGGGACTCTACTCTTTCAGATACCAGGGTCAAAAGATTTGTCTGGAGCTTTCCGTGACTCCATTTTTTATCAGTCTTCAAACATATAACCAGGGGACCAGCAGGCAGTATGGTGGTTACAGTGCTGGACACTCCCACATGACCAAGTGTGGTTCGAGTCCTGAACCTACCAACTTGCTTTCTCACTTTCCTTCTCTCTCTGATAAAATAAATGACTAAATAAAATTAAATAGATATTTAAAAAAAAAAACCAACCAAAAGAGATCACTGCTCACATCCTCAAGCTACTAATGGGGCCACATTGCTACCACATTTTGCCTAAATCCCCCCCAGTGACCTCCCAGTTGGACCCTGCTCCTGTCCTTGCCTCTTAGAAGCCAGACAAGTATACTACACCCACAGTCAGGTCACGTCACTCCTCTGGCTGCAGACTCCAGTGGCTTCCATCTCACTCTGCAGGCAAGTCAAAGCCCGCGCAGTGGCCCGGTAGCCCTCTGTGATCCAATCCCCCACAAGCAGGGAAGAATGTCATTTTCTACCATCCTTCCCCTTCCCCTAATCCAGCCACCTCGGCCTCCTGGATCTTCTCTGCACATGCCAGGCATACTTCCACCTTTGCGCTCCCTGTCTCCTCTGCCTGGAATGCTCCTCTCCTGGGGTACCTGCCCAACATTCTCCCTCATTCCTTTCAGGTCTCTATGCGAGTAGCATCTTTTTTTCTAAAGTTAATTTTTACTTCTTCTTTGACAGAGTTAGAGACAGAGGCAGAGGCAGAGGCAGAGAGAGAGAGAGAGAGAGAGACACTCCCTACCAGGGTCTTCGTGCCGCAATCCACCCTCATCCTTTCAGCCAGGATCAGAGGCAGCATGCACATGCCAAGTGTGTAACGGGAAATCTCAGGGTGTGAACCTGGGATCTCCTTTTGTGGCTTCCCAATGGAGGAGTACTGCGTGACTGCCACGCCACTGCAGCCGGCCTCAAGGGGCATCTTAAGGCTTCACATACCCCATCTGATAATGCAGCCCTCCTTCTCTGCACTCCCTGGACCCTCCTCCAGTTTTTCTTCAAAGTACCGATCATTAACTGGATAGGATGTATTTTCTCATTATTTGCTTATTGTCTGTCTCCCCAGTAAGAATGTAAGGTGCAGGCCAGCTTCATGGCCTAGTGGTTAAAGGGAACTGAATCCCACATGGCTGACCATGGATTCAATGCTGACTCCAGGCGGCTTGACAAACACTGGGGTGCATGTGTGTGTGTGTGCTCCAAATCCTGACATGATGGAGAAATGGAGAAGGGACTGCAGCATGACCATGCCCCAACTTGGGGTGCTTTCTCCCTCTTTCTCTGGAAAGCATACATGTCCTCTGGCAATTAAAAAAAAGAGAGAATATAAGGTGGTTGTTGGTCTCTGGGGCCTAAAGCAGGGCAGATGAATGAATGGGATGTTCTGTCTTGGGCACACACCCAATCACTCCAAGAGGGGACCCACCCTCTTCACCTTGTGGAGGAGAACACCCCTGACTAGGGAAGATTCTTGCTGATCCATGGGCCTTGGCCTGGCCTGGGCTCTTGGGAGGCTGGTGGTGGTGGTGAAAGGTACAGCCTGCCTGAGCCATTTCTGAATTTCTACAAACACTTCTCTGTAAAAAGGCCCCTGGCTTTATCCCAGACTACATTTTACCTCCTCTCCCTCAGGTCCAGCCTCAGCACTGACAACCAGCAGAGCCTCAGCGGAGGACAGGCTGTGCTAGGTTCTAGAGTTCCCCCACGAGGGCCTGGCAGACAAAGCACCTGTGGAGCAAGTCCTCTGCTCCCTGGCCTCCCCCCTCCAAGGCTTCTCCCCTAGCCTGGGCACATGCGTATATGGCCACACGGGGTTCTTTCCACTGCAGTGCTTGGGTGAACTCGGATGTCAGCAGAGTCCCACACAGTGCCAGGCCCTCACAGCAGCACTTGGCAAGCAGGTCTGACGCCTGCATGCTGCCCCAAATCTCTGTGGTAGCATTTAATTTTGTTTTCTTGGAGTTTTTTTTTTTTTTTAGAGAGTTTGTTTTTGTTTTTGCTACAGGGTGCATGTGCTCGCTGGAGAGACAGAGAGACAGAAAGTGAGACATCACCCCCTGGGGGGATGTGCATGCCACAATCCCTTCTCTCAGGATTTTGGGTATGCACACACATGTGCCTGGTGTGAGGTTTAAGCCACTGGGTCTAGGACTTGAACCACGGTAAACTATGTGGGAATCCAGCGGTGTAACCTGTTTTCAGATTGGCTGCTCTCCACAGTAACCATTATGCCATCTGCTGGTCCCAGATAGTGTTTAATTTTATTTAACTCTCACGAGTAAGTGCCCCATCCTTGCTCCTCAGTTTTAGCTTTTCCCTTCTCCTAAATATAAACGTTTGCAGGTTTTTTGTTTTCCAAATTCAGTATAAACAGTAGCGACTCATCTCTCTTTTTGTTTTTAGAGAGATTTTTGCTATTGGGTGAATGTGCTTGCTGGAGAGACAAAGAGACAGAAAGTGAAAATCATCCCCCAGGGGGATCACCATGCCACAATCCCTTCTCCTCCATTCTCTCGGGATTTTGGGCATTTACACACATGTGCCCAGCATAAGTTTAAAGCTGCTGTGTCCAGGACTCGAACTGCAATCAACTCTGTGAAAGTCCAGTGACCATTACGCTCTCTGCTGGTGCCTAGAGATTCATCTCTTAGGGTAGAAAAGGTCAACTAAAAGATAAACAAATCCTGGGGCCGGCAAGTGGAGTGATGGTTAAGGCACTGGATTCCCACATAGCTAACCATGCTTCAATTCCTGGACCTGGTGGCTTG